CACGTACACACAGCAGCGCTTCCTGTTCCCCGGCCCTCTGCCGAAAAAAAACCCAGCCACCCGCTTCTGCCTCTCGCTGGCGCCCGGAGGCCGTGCCGGTCACTGTCATTTCGGTTACCAACTTTACGGTACCTCCTTATAACAGCCCCCCACACACATCACTTCTGATTTGTTTTTTCATGGAAGCCGTTTGTTTTTTTTTACGGGAAAGGCTTTGAAGCAAAGTACATTTACAGTGAAGTCCTCTTTTTTTTCGTTTTTTATTTTGTCTATGTGGTTTCAGTGTACACTGATTTTTTTTTTTTTTTTTTTGCCCTTGGTTGATTCATGGTTTATTTTCGGAATGCCTTTTTTCTTCTTTTGCTCTCGTACAAAATTACCATTTCAGTAGCTGTTTAAATTTTTATGTAATTATCTACAGTCTCTCAGGCCAAAAAAGGCAATTTTCTGCACTCTGAAAAAGACAAAACCTATCAGGTTGATTGGTGCTCAGATCTTCCTGTGAAAAATGAGTTAGGACTTCCTTTGAAGGTTTTGACCAAGTAACATAAGCCACAGCAAGCTTCCACCACCCACACAGATGGTGCTAATTTCAAGTCTTCCTATCACAACAGCAGAGGTAACACCTATTGGAACCTATCTGGATTAACTACCTCTTAGAGATCCTGAGACAGCTGGCTCTGAGAAGACTCTGTATGAGTGGGCTGTGAGCCCTTGTGTTGTCAGCTCCATCCAAAATGAGGCGGCACAAAACGTTTTCAACATTTTTTGAGAAGCCCCGCAGCACTGTGGAAATAATCGTGATGACCCCCGTCATCCCCGGTGACACCTTATTGACCCCTCAGCCTCCGGTGGTTTTGCATCAGTGATCCAGGTTGGCTCCCCATCAGCAGGTTCAACTTCAGCCTGAAACCACCACTGTTCAGCTTTTGTTCCGCCTACCAGAGGAGCCTGTATAATCAGCACCCAATGCATGGAAGCAACCCAACCACATCCCCATTGCCCCTATTTCAAGGGTAGGACAGAAAAACTTCCATATGATGTCTAAGGAAAAACTGAAATGCACACATTTGTCTAGACAGATACACAGCCACACAAACGTGTAGCAACATGCTGTTGGCATACTGCTTGAGTGCCACATCACAGGAAACCACTGGCAAACCTCAGGTACCAAATTACTTTCACTCTGCATATTCTGAGGGTTCACCTCAAACCATGTTTGCAGGTGCCACCTACCCGAATGAATACAACAAGGTAAATGTTTGATTATCAGACAGGCGTGACAGTTCCCATATGAATGTGCAGGCCTGTACATATTTTCTAGGTTTATTCTCATGGTTCTACTGTTGCAGTTTATATTTGTACTGGTTTAGATGACAAGGCACAGGTGACAATAGAAGAAAAACTAGGTTGCAGAAGAAATGTAAGTACCTAATTCCTCAACGGTACTTTTGTCACGGTTTTCATGTATAAATTTTTTACTTCGCTTGGACATTTTAATCTGTGTCTTATTCTATTCGTCCTCACATACATTTTGAAGAAAAGAACTCGTAGTTGTGTCGCCATTAGGCTACATATTTTGTGAAGTACGCATGAAACGCCTGGTAACCCTGCAACACGCGAGTGCCACACACAGCAAGTCTAGACACGAAGCAGCAGAAACAACAGCATAAACAAAGGAATATGCGCCTGCGCTATCATTTTTATGCCTTTTCAAACGTTTCCAGTTTGATTAAATAAACAGAAAGTTTGAAATGGAAATTGTCCAGGAGTTACTGCCAAATCTTGCCCGATGCCCAGAGGAGTCGCTACAGACAAAAATAATAGATGTTTATTGAAGAATAGGCCTACTTTGATCGAGGGCATTAGACGGAGTTCTAGTGGTCAAAAACTAATAGCACAACGCAGTAGCAATTTAGTGGCGACAGAGGGTCGCGCACTCACCAGAAAAGCGGTAAAAGCTTTCCAAAACCTTAGCCTCGCTACAGTTATTTCTCTAACGCTAAGTTAACGTACAGAAAATACAGATTTAGCGAGGGAACGATTTACGTGTGATTTATGGAGTGGTCGGGGCCAGTGTACCCCTGCAGTGATATTATGTGGATTGGAATGTTGCTTAGAGATCGCAGCGCTGGTGAGTGGCAACCTACACTATGGTAGGTTATTGTAGTCGCAACAAAATTGCGCACCTGTGAAGCGCAAATATTGCAGTACTTTATGTTCTGCGATTAAGAGAAATCTGAGACACGCTCTTATATCTTGGCACGACGAGGTTTTCCGTCACACCGGTGCGGTTCCTTGTCGTTCGATGCGCTCAGAAACGTCCCTCACCACATGTGTAGCAAGTGCGTTATGAAAAAAGTTGAGTACAAGCATCGTTAATGGAATCAAGTCATTGGCTGGTTAACCGGCAAAGTAAATATGTTAAAATTTAAAATCGACCCTTTAAAAGTTCTCCAGTAAATGACACATGATCGAGCTGAGTGGAACTTCCCACGATGACAGTTTCCCACTTGCGGCCTAATCGATTGCCGACATACAGTAATCGCTAGGAATTAAATAAGCGATTCTTTGTTAATTGCATAGTCATGTATAATAGATATATTTAATTATTATATTTGATAAACTCCAACAAGAGTGAAATTCATTTTGTTGACTACGTAGAAGTACTGTCGATTGTTTCTTTTGAAAGTTCATTTATTTAACAACAATGATATTTCCTCTAAAGCAACAGCACATTTACTTTACTAAAATTTGGGATATTTTCATTAGAGCTGCTGAGATAATTGATAATTTGGATAACTAACTGTAATTATTCCTTCAAGGGTTGGAAGGTACCACTGAGGAAGACATTTCTTTTACACATTGGTATTGTCGTTAATACTTTTTTTCAATGGGAACAAGTGCAGCGAAAAACAAACCTATTCTATGTACAACCTGTTTTCTTATTGTTTTCAGCGACAACATACTTGTAGCATACAGTATTTTGAAGGAAGGCGTCAAATCCTTACTATCCAAACTGAAAATACCTAAATGAACGGATATAATGGTCTTGAAATCTGTGAAGTATGTGACACAAATCCTTCCTTTAAAAACATAAAACTAAAAAATCATTCCGATCATGTACTATTGTTTCATTTCATTCACAGTCTGAGCAATTATTTTCCCCACTTCGATTTCAGCTTGTTGAATGTTATACAGTGCCACCTAGTGACCTGTATGAATATGGCAATATGCTTACACAACAAACGTGGCCATTTTAGTCTCACCTGCATTGCCACGTCTCTCTAACCCTGCCCCGGGTGGGCATTTTTTGACGCAGGTTCTGCTTGGATCGGAGCTAACTGACTTGTATATTCTTGCATTACGTTTCTGATTTTGGAAAATAACGTCAGTGTCCAAAAATGGACTATCTTTGAAAAAAATCTATAAAATGCAGAAGTAGGAAATAAAGATCCTGGAGTGATCATTATGGGTTTTCTTCCATCTAAACTCTGACTTATTTAACTTGATCTATTACGCAAAATTATGCAAAGGGAACTAACCCCAATTCCTTTTTTTTGCACTCAGGTCTAAAGTAATATGGCTGACCATCCACTGTTTTTATTTACTGTTAGAGGACTTGAAAATCTGGAGGGTCATTGCACTTTAGGGGCCGGGTTGTAACCCTCTCACTGTTTTACACAAGGGGGAACATGGAGGAAGGACACAGGGTCACTTTATGACTGGTTCTGTCAGCAAAACAAGAGGACATAGGAGGAAATTAGTTATAGTAAATTTCACACTGAAATTAGAGAATATCTTTCCAGGATATGTTGTGGAAGCAGAGGGCTTACGAGTGGTATAGACAAGGCTTGACACAGTCCTTGATATTCTCAAAAGTCTGGACAATAGACACAATGACAAGACTCGCTTGTCTGAATGGCCTGTTTCTTCATTAAACTCGGTATGTTCGTATTAAGCACCTCCTGTGTCCAATAAGAGTCATGATCCATCTTTTCCACTAGGGGGCAGCATATCACCTGCTTTGACACACAGCTCCCCTATTCTGAGCTGCAGTTCCGCCACGAGACCACAACAGGAGGTTGTACTCTTTTTCGTAAGTGTGAAAACAGCTCTGTTCAGGCTGTGGGACTTTGTGGACAACCCGGTGAGCTGCTCATTTTGTTTTTATTTCATGCACCTCAGTGAGCTTCAAGGTAGACTTAGCTTTATCCCAGTGTGTATGACTGGTCTTCAATGGTAAAACTAGGATTTTTCTTTCACTATGCAATCATCAGTACCATTCTTTGTTTCCATGGTCATTCTTCCACTGTTAAGAGACAGCATCATCAATAGAGGATTATGTCATCAGGGTATCTATGCTTATTGGTAGTGTCACTTTGTTTAATGTATCCTCCTTCAGGCCTATGTGTAAGGTCTTCCTCCCTGTTCTGCTCTGTATTACTAGGAAACTTGAATGTGCTGAAGTGGTTATTGACAACATTGTTTTGTAAAATGAATTACAGAATTGCATTCCATGGGCTTCAACATGTGAAGTCTCACCTAAATCGCTTTTTATGTTTTTCATGACTTGCATGTCTCCCCATTCACCTTTTCTGCACAGGACAAATCCTGACTGAAAATGCTGCATGTGGTATGTATCTGCATATATTTTCCGATCATTGTTCTGTATTCATCCAATCTCAGACCAAAAGAGAAAAAGAGCTAAATTAAAAATTAGCTGCAATCGTGATTTTTGACATATTGTTTATTTACTGTATAGATCCATAGGTGGTGAACCCTGCTGTCAGAGCCAGTGATCCCTTATGAGGCATAAGGAAGGGGCCTAAGAGGCTAAGCAGAAGCTAGATTTGAGGAGCCTCCTATTATTAAATTACTGTCATTTAACATATGCTCTTATCTAGAGCAACTTATGTAGTTTGCAGTTTTGTGTTATCCATTTATACAGTTGGATGTTTACTGAGGTAATTGTGGGTTAAGTACCTTGCCCACGGGTACAGCAGCGCCCCAGCGGGGAACTGAACCGGAAACCTCTCGGTTACAAGCTGTGCGCCTTAACCACTAGGCTACACTGCCACCCCAATCATTGTTTGGCACACCTCCATCGTTTGAGCTCATCAGTAATTGCCAGGAGCCCCAAGAGGCCCCAGATCAGGGGTGAGTTGGGGCAGACTGCACAAGGTAGTAATATGGACATGTTACCATGATATCAAGTCACTGTGGGGTTAGTAAGCTTGTTGACAAAATACCAAAGACAGAACATAACTCTCCAGCTAACCCCTAGCATGGCAACAATGTTAGGTGGAGGCCATCAGCACAATACACTCTTTGCCCAGACTGAAATGTGATCATGGATGTTGGATGCTATTTATGGTATTTAAAATATATTATTTTTTAGAAATTTTAAGATACATAAAACAAAAATTTATATTCTTGGCTTCCCTGGAGTTCTTATCCATCTGTTGATTCCTTCTATAGTGTACTGGTTGTGCATCAAACCTGGTGTAGTAATGGATATTAGATATCTCTATGGATACCTGACACAAGTCAAAATCTAAACTCACTAGTGCACATATGTGTCAAGTTATACATTACTCTATATTGTGACAATATACAGTATATATATATATATATACCTGTGGGGTATAATATTTATATCCTGTATGATACAATGAAGATACAAGATACAAGCAAGTGTGTTTTTTCATCTAATTTCTGTTCATATGTCATTGTTCATCAAGCCAAATTATTGTTGCAGAGCAGTATTAAACTTAATGAAAATTATGAACTTCATTATTCTGTCAGTGATTTTATGGTCTTGAACAGTTTGAACAAGTAAAGCTTCATTTAGACAGCGGACATTAACAAAGATTTGTTTAATATACTTTTCTTGTATCTTTTTAGTAGCTCAGGCACAGCTGTTTCCTTTCTCCCAGAAAAAAAATGTTGAGCCACAGTATGTCATGTGATGTCAGATTCAAATTAATTTTCATACAGTCCTTACAACCCATTACACTGTTAAGATATGTCAAATATATGTCAGTATTCAGGTAGTATTCAGGAGCTCAATCTAACCTGATTAATCAAAAGCAGTTGGTACAAACACCGGTATATTTAGTGTGCCTCCTCTACCTGAATTGGAAAATATTTGCCCATTGATTGATAGTGCAAAACCAAACACAAAAATCAGCTTCCAATGGCTCCATCTCATTCCCCTAAGTATGCCTGAGTAAACTAGAGAATGTAATTCCAGGGAATTACGAGTGCATGAAAATGCAAACAGTCTAATTTTACATAGATAAAAGTATATAGGCCATCAAACAGATGTAGGTGGTCAGAACAGCTGCCACAAGATTCTAATTGCTTAATGGCTCTATTGTGATGTCATAAAGGCCAATGTTAAGTCTATGGGGAAAATTCTGATAGTTTTTAATTAATAGTTTAAAAAGTATAAATGTTACAAAAATAAAAAAGCATAAGTGTCCTTTGTAAGACCTACGCAACAGTTTGAATGAAGTTTCTACGTTAAACGGTTGAAGCTGTATTAAACGCACAAAATTGGTTAGAAGAAGAAAAAGAAGAATAAGAAAAATTCGGATAACAACAGAGTGCATTTTCATGCACTCTAATGAACTAAACGCAGACTGGAGGATGTCATTCTCTTCCTGGCTTCCCATTCTCAAAGCTGACGGCGGAAGCTTTGTGCGCCCTCCTCTGGCCAGCCTCATAACTGCAACAGAGCGGCTAGCTGACAGTTGGCAAAGAGAGGGAGTGCCTAGTCAACAGTGAGTCCTTGGAGGGCGTGGGGTCATAAGGGGCCTGTCTCAGGAAATGCCGGGAGGCAGAGATAGGGCCAGGAGGGCGTTCCAGTCAGGCCTGAGTTCACTTCTGTTTTTTCCCTCTCTCTTTTTACTTGAAAGAGCGGTCTTCAGCAGCTGCTTCCCACACATAAAGTTGTGCGCGTTGCTCGTTCCTTGCTCTTTCGAGTAACAGGTCTGCATACGGTGTGTACACGTTAGATTGCGTGTAGTTTTCCAGGCCATTTAAGGCACATCGATACATGTATTTCTCATAAATTGTGTAATCACTGATGTCAGGGATTGGTAAGTGCTTCTGATGTTGTTATGTGCACTCGATTTTCTGTATGATGCAATGAGTGGAATTTTTCTATGAATCATCCCTCCTAGAAATTCCTCACAAAAAAGATTTAAGCTTTTTTTTTAACAGCCTGTTTGGCTGGTTACATTGTGTATATGTATGATCCTCTACTCACGTGTCACGTATTATATATCTCTGGGAGTCTTTGCAAATGAATATTTATGTATGTTAAATGCCATCTGGGCAATTTGTTTGACACACTTCCTGATAAAAGTGTGTGTAAAACTAACACGTAATGTAATGTGATAAATTTGCTGCAAAATTACATCACATGACGGTCATTCAAATATGGAAAAGGCGGACAAAGGAAAACAGTTAACAATAACAAGCGGTGTTATTATATGGCACTGTATCTCCCATTCATGACACAGCTTCGGTAAGCTTCCCGTTCGCCTGGATACAGAGACAGAGCATATTTCCTTCTCATTGGCAGGGAAGGGGGGGCGGGAAGAGAGCCAATCAGGAGTGCAGCCAGCCCATCCTGCGAGTCCATTGGCTGCTCGTGGCTGGGAGTAGAGCGTTGTCATTCTTTTACCCTGTATTCCTTGCACACAATTCTCTGCCTCATGGAGAGAGTTTGCAATGTTTAGATAATCCTAGGTTTTGAAATTCAAAGGCAATGATGAGTGCATGCCACAGTGACACTGTATGGCAATGTGAGAGGCAAAGAGATGTTAGACGACTGACTTCTGAGTGCATGTGTGTCATAGGTCAGGTAGTTCTTGTTGTCCTTATTTTAGACGTACGAAAGGTACTCCAAGACTAGTGCTAGGCTCTGAGGAGCAGACCACTAATGCATCGTAATATGATAGAGAGATTGCACACTGAGGACAGTGCACCATGGTCTGCAAGTACTCAAGGTGCTCTCTTTCGATAAAAGGTTTTTGATAAAAGGGTGTCCAAAAGAAGGTATGTAACTTGATAAGGGAAGATGCATTGTACCCTCCAGACAGTCACTGATGACAATAAATCATGATGCCTGGTTCAGACAATGATCACACAAGAGCTGGTTGATCAGAGGGCAGAGTGTGTGCGTGTGTGCTGTGTGTGTCTGAGGGTGGCTGACAGTTTCAGTGCTGGAGGGCAGATTTAAGCATCTGGGTGGTTGGAGTGTTCATATGCAGAAACACGGCAGGAGGATAACTGAGTCTGCATTAACAGATCTTTAATTGTGCAGGGCAGGAGAGCAGAGTGGGTATGGAGGGCTATTTGTGGCAGGTTGGTGTTAGTTGTTAATCAGCTCAGGAGCTCAGTGTGGAAGGACTGAGGTGCACAGACACTCATACACACTCACACTCACAAACATGCATCTGTTTGAAGAAAACGCATATTTATGCATGTGCAGCTGTGCACTGTTTTGCCCTCTGTCCCTCTGTCTCTCTGTTTCTGGGAAAAAGGCCTCATTTTTGGAGGTTTCTCAGTTATGATGCAGTTCAGATACCATCAGTCTCCCTGCTGGCCTGTAGACACACCCTTTCTGACTTCCTGCGTGCCCTGGCCTCAACCCCCCCTTTTTCTTCTATCTTGACCATTTCATCACTCAGCTACCCCATCAATCTCCTGTCACTCTTCCGTTTACAATATCAACTTGTATTGGATTGTTACAAAAAAGTTATGAGAAGAGAGTGTCTCTTTTTCTCTCTATTTGACTGTTTCTCACACACCCAGCCTTAACACATTGCTCATATATCCTGCTTCTAACCATTTCTCAACCCGTTTTATAATACATGTTACTTTCTAAGTCATTTAGATTTTCACATCATCTGTGACGTGTGGAAAAAACAACGTGCTATGCAATGTAGTGATAATATGATTTATCCTGAAAACAAAAACAAATGTGTTATTTGGAGTGTACCGTTTTCTTCAGATTATGCACGAATGCGACGCATTTGACTCGATAGATTATCGATCGGTAATCTGTCAGATACCGAAGGCATGCCGCCCCCCCGGCCCCCCTCCCGGTCCCGGCTCCCTCTCGCGATGTCCCCGCCCCGCGGGACTTGGCCGCGCCGCCTGTGCGCCGCGCTTTGCGGCCAGTAGGATTCGGTCAGCGCAGGAAAGCGGAGCTTGGGGCTCCGGGAACAGACGGGAAGACGACGGGACAGAAAATCTGCGCCCCCGAACAAACAGTGAAAATACAGCACACCCGCACCAAACACCACAGCCAGAGCGACACATAAGCCCGCGGACTGGAGCGAGGGCGTGGTCGCAGGTTAGTTTTAGGGAGTTTTCGGGGTGTTCCTTCATATTTTTTCCCCGTGTTTGTCACAGAGGGAGGAGGTGGAACGCACCGCCGCCATCTTTGGGACCTGCCTGTGACTGAAAAGCGAGCTTCTGGGCCACGGCTGGCCTTGGGGAAGAGTTTCGTACCGTTCAGCGACGACGGGTCGATCTGACAGCATTAAACACCACGGCAGCGTCGCAAAATCATCCGGGGAGCAGGGGGGAGAAACAGAAACGAGAGTAAAAAGGCGAATCTCGGCTCCACTCTCTTCCTCCCCCCGAACTGGCTGAGCCCTAGCTACTCCTTGGATACGGTATTCGCTCCTGTTCCTTTTAAACCTGGCCTGTCGGACGGGTAAGTGCCCGCTTCACGATCCTTAACACTACAGCGTAGCAGCGTAGCTGGAGCGTAATATGTACGGAAACGAGGTGGAAGTGCTGGAGATATTTTACTCAGGGTTTACACGCCTGCACGTAGCTAGCTTGTTAGCGAAGAACGTTATTCACGTCCCAGGCGCAAGTAGCTAGCCACGGTTCCCGCTAGCTAGCGTTAGCCGAGTTAGCCAGCGAGCTTGTTCGGGGTTTGCACGGCTATGTCGTGTCATGATGGGTGTAACTACAGCCTGCTCGCTATTAGCTAGTTTATCTCTGTCAATCGAGGCTCTCGGAGTGAGTGTGGAACTGCGATGTCGGTG